CTGAATACCTACAGAAATTTTATAGAATCTTAAGCTTCCTTTCACTCATGATACTGGAGTCTAATGAATGTGCTGACATTCTTTTGTCTGATTCCCTAAGCTCCATTCCTGTATCAAACCATCAGACAGTAAAGCACATTTACCACATTATCTCAGCCCTTCAAAGAATTGCTTTCACTAAGGCACAACTTAATGTAATGTTCTTTGCCTCTATCAAAGGTCGATACAAGAACCATTAGTTTGGGACAATGTTTCTTTAGGTTTGAAGATTCTATTCCTAGATGTTCTCTGTACAAGGACTCGAGAAACAAATTTCCACTCTTTTTTTTTTTTTTGCAAGAAAAAAAACTGTTCTCACATCTCCCTTTTGTCAAAAAATACAAATAAAAGTTGTTAAACTTTCTGTGTTTCTTTTTTTTTCTTTTCCTTAACAACTGAAAATTTAAAGCCAAATCTCATTGCTGTTATCTGGTTATGTGTAATCTATTTCATTAGGGCACAAAAAAAAATCTTCTACACTTGGGATATACAATGCAACATACCTTTTAATAATATGAGTAAGCATTTCTTTAAGACACACGATACAGTAGCTGAAACAGAGTAATTTCCTTTACGCAGGGATTCTGCCTTATATTTCACCACAGTTTTTCACTGATGCCTTTGGAAATAATCAAAAACCAAAAGCAACTATTTCCATATGGCATTTCAAACACTGTGTGATCAGAGAAGTGGCTTGCACTTAATGGGCATATACTGAGCTAAATTAAGGCAAAGTGCGAAATGCACTACAGATTCAGTATAGTCAGTACAATCCAAATAATAAGGCCATATCACTAAATTTATAGCAGAAAATAATGTTGCACAGTGCCTCACAAGGCAAGCAATGTAATTCCTAAAAATAATTTGAATAGGAAATCCTCCACATTAGTCATATATTACAAAATTAGAAAAATACTACTGGAAAAAATATATATCTAAAGATGTTGACTTTGGGCTTTTCCCAAAGAATGGTGAAGTTCCTAGCAAACAGTGCTATAAGAAGATGAAACACTCTGTACAGGGAGCTTCCAGTTACCTGTTAAGCACCTCACTCTTAAAAAAGAAGAGATTATCAAAGCATTACCAGATATTTGAGGGATGTTCCTCGAGGAAAGAAAATAAGTAAGCAGGAAAAAGGCACCTTGGAAAGCTGAAGAAAATATGAATACTTTATTGTTAATGGTCTCAGAGAGATGAGAAGTTATTGAAATTGTGATATAAAAGCAGATTGCTATAAAATAGAAACAGAGAACAAGAAAAAAATATATAGAACCGGACAGCAAAAAAAAATAAGAAATTCAAGAGAAGGGTTGGAAGATAAAATTGAAAAAATTTATCAGAAACACAGAACCAAAAAAAAAAAAGAAAAAGAAACACAGAATCAAAAAGATAATAACTGAAAAATAAAGGAGAAAAAAAGAGAAAATTATAGTATCAATCCAGGTATTCCAACATTCAACTAATTAGAGCACTAACATTCAGAGTCAAAGCACAGAAAAAGTAGAGGGGAGCAAATTATCAAAGAAATATTATACTGTAAGAGTCAACTATACATCAATAATTTTTTTTAATTTTTAAATGAGAAAAATATTTTAAAAGGAAATATTACAAGAAAATTGTCCAAAAGAAATTGAGTTTCCAGATTGAAAATATCTTCCAAGTGTCTAGCACAATGAATGAAAAAAATCCAAACCAAGGTGACTGTCATGAAATTTAAAAACAGTAAAGATATAGGAAAGATGCTAAAAGCAACCAGAGGAGGAAAAAAAAATGATAACAAAGAATCAGGAATCAGAATAATATGTGACTTTTCAATAGAAACACTGACAGCCAGAGATAATGAGGAATGGTTTCAACATTTTAATCTAAAGGAACGTTATTTACAACACCAGATTTTATACAAAAATCAAATCAAATTTTATACAGCACCCTTCCTCTCTTCTCCCCACCTCTTGCTCCTGTTTCCTGCTTTGAGTGCAGATGTGACACCAGAGATCAAGCAGATATTTTTTGACCATCCAAACCATGCATGAGCACGGAGTAACAGAGACAAGCAGCCAGGATCCTTGATGACTTTGGAGCTACCATAACTGCAGAGAACTAGCTCTCTACTACTTTCATACCAGCAAAAAGTCAACTCATTGCTTGTGTAAGCCCCTGTTGTTTTGGTGTCTTTTATGTATGAGCAGCCAAGGGCAATTTATAACCCATACGTATGAATCCAAGAAATGGGCTTTATCAGATTAGGAAGGTATAGAAATTCTTAGTATGACAAGGAGAAGTTGCAAACTGACAGTTGTATATCTGACTGAGAGAGCAACCAGTCCATAATGGAGCAGGAAAACCGAAATGATATATTAAGAGGTATTTTACAACTCTGTCAGTGAATTTATGCATACAATGAAGCAAAGACATATACACAAAGCAGTTATTAACTCCAATAAAAACAAAATTTATACAAAAAGACAGTAAAATAATTGTATGGCATGTAATTTCAGTGGTGAACAATATTTAACAACAAGGAGCATCATAAGATGAAACTAGTGGTTTTCAACCAGAGGCAATTTTGTCCTCCAGGAGATATTTGGCAATGTCTAGAGATATTTTTGGTTACCACAGCTAGGTTGTGTTCCTGAGCACTGAGTTACAGATCTGTGATAACAGTACTCCTCATGTGTCCTTTAACAAACTTGGGTATCTATGTGCTTGTGATATGTATGTCCTCTTATAATGTAGGTCTGAGAGCCTAGGCCACTCTTTCCCAGCTGTAAGAGTGGTACTGATAAGGATGCCACATCTTCAAATCCTTACTTTGAATTCACCCCACTTACCTTTAATTCAACTGAATTTGACTCGCACCTAATGAACCTACTGAAACTGTTACCTTGAAATTCATCAGTAGCATCCTAAGCTATGAAACCAACAGAATACTACCAAGACATAATCCTTCTGTATCAATTTCATGGACTCATCCCAGCT